ACACAAAGCCCTTCCCCAGCTAAGACCATCAGGAAAGTTACAAAGGAGCCATTCAGGGCATCTGACCCGGCTAGAATTTAGTAGCTGATTGAATCCAGTATCTCATCCAACTATTTCTTGAAAGAAGCCAGAGTATCGGCTTTAGTGGCGTGGCTGGGCAGCTCGCTCCACACTCCCGCTACTCTTGGTGCAAGGAATTTCCTCCTTTTTCATTGTACTTCCATGTCGTTCCCCCTTGTGCCCTCTACTTTGCGTTTCACTGCTCATTTGAAAAACATCTGCTGCACAAACTGGGACTCTGGGCTCTGAACACTTGGATTAGGTCTCCACGTACTCTTCTGAGAACAAGACTAAAGAGATTCAGTTCCTGTGGTGTCAGCATAGGACATCCCCCCTTAAGCCCAGGAATACTACTAGCTGCTCTTCTGGGGACATATTCCCGGAGCAGCAGGGTCTGTTCTCTAACTGAGACGAACAAACCTGGACCCACTATGGGAAATGAGGCCTTACTCTCGGCGTTACGCCGTTTCAACACAACAGCCCTCGATTTCAGGTCTACACTGCCGTTTCATCTGCCCGCTCCTCTCCTCGCGCTCCTCCTCCTGCTGTCCCTCCCGGGGCCCGAGATCTTCGACGGGCCCGAGACCCCCAGACACCTCTGGAAGCTCTGGAGCTCGGAGCTCACCTGGACTGGAAGGGGTCTCCGGGGGCGCTGGGCGGGGGGAAGGTCTTGGTGCGGTACCCCTTGGTCTGCACCCCCGAGGCGATGGCCGGAGAGGACTCCCTCCTGCGCTCCGCGGCGCGGCCGGCCAGCTCCTGCAGCCCGCTGTAGGTGGCGGAGCTGTGCAGAGCCTTCTGGGACATGCCGGGCACGGGGCGGCCCGGCTTCACGCCCGTGGAGTTGGGGCTGGGTGTGTAGAGCGTGGCGGCGTCAATGCCGCTGTCGCTGGAGCCCCCCTTGGCCAGGGGGTCCGGCTCGGCCTCGGCGGGGTCTCCCGGGTCGAACCAGCGCTCGTCGCTGTGGTTGCTGGAGGCGTTGCTGGACAGGGTGTTGCTGCTCGAGTGGCTGGAGTACTGCGCTTCGCCCTGTCAGAGAGAGAGAGAGAGACGCCCACCGGGTCAGAACCGGTCCTGCCTGCTGAATCGCACCTGCGGCATCGCCGGGGACAGGACTCCCGGTTTTAATAAACACTGAGCATAAAGTGGAGCATGCACAAACACAGCTGCAACCTGCAGTGATCGCTCGAATGCCTTTCATTATTCACTACCAAAATCACTAGAAACCAGGCGATATGGGCTCTCCTCACTCTGTGGCTCGCTCTGCTGCTACATGATTCCCAGATCTTAGAATAATTAATAAATCCTCACACTTACAGAGCTCCTTTCTGGACACTCCGCTCAAAGTGCTTTACAGGTAATGGGGACTCCCCTCCACCACCACCAGTGTGCAGCACCACCTGGATGATGCTCCAGTACTCTCCCCACACACCAGCTCTCAGTGGGGAGGAGAGCAGAGTGATGAAGCCAATTTGACCAGGACACCAGGGTAACACCTCTACTCTTTTTGAGAAAAGCCCTGGGATTTTTAATGACCACAGAGGTCAGGACCTCGGTTTTACGTCTCATCCGAAGGACGGCACCTTTTTACAGAATAGTGTCCCCGTCACTATACTGGGACATTAGGACCCACACAGACTGCAGTGCCCCCTGCTGGCCCCAGTAACACCTCTTCCAGCAGCAACCTTAGCTCTCCCAGGAGCTAAGTACCTCCAGGTACTGGCCAGGCTCACGCCTGCTGAGCTCCAGTGGGCTGCCAGCTGGGAGTGGCAGGGTGATATGGCTTATCTGGCTGCTCCTGACCCACAAACACCAGCATGCCGGCCTCAATATCCTGGCCAGGCAGCTGGCGCCACAATGCTCTGTGAAGTTTCATTTTCAACATCAAATCCTCCCCTCCATTCAGCACTGAAGGTCTCTTCTTCCTTTAACCTAAACTCCTCCGCCAAGCTTTGGGAAATGCAACGATTCTGCTTGTTTCTCTTCCTTTTTTTTTTATTGAGCGCTGACGGGGTTTCTGGGATTGCCGGACAAAGCCTGTCCCAGCCTGCCGCTGAGCTGAGCGACCGGCTGGGCCTCTGCTCGAACCTGCTGCCGTGGGCTCCTGCAACACCAGCTCCCCGTGTGGAGGAGAGAAACACACGTCTGTCTTTCTAGCCCATGCACACAAGAAATTACAAACAGGCTTCCCTTTACCACCTGCTCCCTTACGATTTGGAAATAAAAGTCAAAGTTCTGCAAGACCCGCTCTGCGCTCGCAGGTGAACAGACACCACAGCCAGCACCAGCAGCAGGGCGCCGGGCACAGGACTGCCAGCAGACTCAGACGAGCCACGAGCCACTTCTCAAAAAAGAGTCATTTAGGAGAGAGCACAGCAGCGGAAGGCTGCCCACTCCGTTCCCTCCGTGCGGCTGACTCCGGCATGAATCAGCCAGCGTGCGTGCCGGCTCCGGGCGTGAAACACGCACCGCAAATTCCACGAGCGTGACTCACTGGGGAATTTATCGTGAATCACCGAGCAGATCAAAGCCAACTGCCGTGGGGAGCTGGAGCCTTTCCTCAGAGCTATGAAGCAGGAACACAAGATGCTCCACATTACCTCTTCCTTACTTAACCGGTTCTGTTCTTCACCCCTCTGCTCCTACTGTATTCAGTACCCCCATCTACTGTCCCCTCTCATTGTGCATATCTTGTGTATTTTTTACTGATCTTATTCTGTAAAGCGCTTTGAGAAGCCACCTTTAAAGGCGCTATATACAATAAAGTTTTTTATTATTATTATTTTCTGAGACACCAACCCCTCCCACCCTCCCATCACCAAACGCAAGATTTCTTTTCCATCCATTTCACATGTAAGCTCTGCTCCTGTCTCCTCCAGAGCTGTATTTACTGTGTGGCTGGCACGCAGACTGGCAGGGACACAGTCTCGGGACAGACGGGGCTCCGCGGTGCGGTGTGGAGGGCAATAGGCCCCACGACCTCTGACCTTGGAATGCCTGTTGGGAGAATCCCTGCTGGGTGCGTCCTGCCGGCTGGGCCTCTTCACCACGACGCCCGCCCCGGGCGCGGCAGGGGTCCGTGAGGAGGTGGGCACGTGCCACATCGGCTCTGCAAACACACACACACAGGCACACGGCCTCCGTTAGTCCCACACCGCAGACACCCACCTGAGCAGCACCCCGCTGTGCGGGCCTGAGAACGGACTCCCGTACCCTCAGGGTCCAGATCCCCGCATCGGAAACCCAATCTGTCGGGAGACGGTACCTGTCTTGACCCGCTCCATGGTGCTCTCCTGGCTGGTGAAGCCGGACGAGGACTCCCCGCTTGAGGTCAGGTCCAGGGGCGCGTGCGGATCGTAGGCCAGTGGGCGCTGGGGGGGGCCGTACCTGTTCGCCGTGCCAGGGGGGCGACAAACACAGGGACAGTCACACGGGGCAGCAGGGGCAGGCGGTCGGCGCGACCCGCTAACCCCCGCCTCGGCTCAGCCCTGCCCAGCGAGCGACACCGCCCCGCGAGAGAGGGGCTCCGCAGACCCCTGGCGGTGCCCAGCCACGCCCTGCCCAGACTGGAACCCGCTTCCAGGCACAGATCTCCGGGCCTCCGTTCCGGGGCTGGCGAAGCACGCAGAGGAGAACTCCGCCGCCCAGACTTGCCTGTTGGTCTCCCTCGACCAGGAAGACGAGCGAGCCGATCCAGTCAAACGAGACCAACACCCCACACCTGCAGCAGCGGCTGGAAAGAGCGCCCCGTCAGGCGCCGGTGCAGGTTTTACCAGCTGCTGGCTCTTGTTTGTGGGGATTCCAGTAGTGAACCAGCTTCTTCCTCGGTGCAGTCTGAACCGGAGCTGGCAGCCGCTGAAGCCCGGAACGGAACAGGCGGCGCTGTGCAATGGGAGTCTGGCCTCCGCCGGCGTGAGTTTAAGCTGCCCTGGACACCGCCCCCCCCCCACCCCGCTCCCAGTCCCAACCCCGGAGAGGCTGGCGGGCCCACCTGTCGGGGGAGGGCTTGAAGCGGCTGAAGGGCACCCCCAGGCCCGAGCCGGGGGTGGAGAAGCTGCCGGAGGAGTTGCGGTAGGGCACTGCCCGCTCAGCCCCTCCTGGAGAGATGCTGTAGGGGTTCTCCGGGAAGCTCACCGGCCTGCGGGAGAGAGGGGGTGTTCAGAGCAGCGCCCCCGTCTACCGAGGAGCACCTGGCTTAGCCTTTGCTTTCCAAACCTTCAGAAACGTTTCACTGGCTTCAAGGCAAAACACTTAGTCCTGCAGTCCCATACTCTCAGAGCGCAGAACTATTACAGAACGACCCCCCCGAAAAGGGGCTTGTTTCTGTCCCTTTCGGCCTGCGCTGTGTAACAGCTCTGCGCCTGCAGCAGCAAATGAAAAGGCGAGCAGATCACAAGCCCCCCCCCCCCAGGACAGGACCCCTACCGCTTGCTGGGCACGTGCTGCGGCTCTCTGTAGGGAACTGGCACCACCACCTTCTGGGAGCGGGACAGGGGCTGGAGGCCCGGGGACGCCCACCGCTGGCCCTGGGGGGCGCTGTGGGTGGGGGGGCTGTCCCACCTCCAGGCGGGGCTCCTGTAGGGCGCCCTGTAGCCGGCGGGCACGGGCTCCGGCTCCGGTTTCTGCTCCATGGTCTTCATTTCGTACTCCTCCGTGCAGCCCCTGCCAAGGGACACGGAGAGGTCAGCCCTCAGACCCGGGACAGGGCGGCACGCGGGCAGCTCGGGACCCGCCCGAGCTTCGCACACAGAAGAAGCAGAGCTCCCGTTCCCGAACGGAAGAGTCATCGCGTCTCTCTCGACTTCATCTAGCACGAAATCCATTCAGGGTGGAAACCACAACTCTCCTGCGTTTTACCCCTGGCCAAGTACACACTTCGCCTCTCTCGCTCGCTCACATTCCTGATGGCGATCCGTCCAACACTGTCTGTTCCCTGGCACTCTCAGAGCTTATTCTCTTTCCCAGAGACAGCGGTTTTGACCTCAGGGGTCTCTCGGAGGAGCAGGGAAGGAAACACAAACATCTGGGGGCTGGCAAGCTTGGCCCACCATGCCTCGGCCCTCCCTGCTGCCCCACTCCCCCCCCCCAAACACACACAGCACAGCAGGACGACTCCAAGACTCTGATCCACCAAAACAAACCGCGGAGCTACAAAGCTGAGTGGCAGAGTTAAGACAGCAATTTCACGCCCTAATTGAGCTAAATAATGATATCCGGATGTCAGAACACAGCGCTGCCGCCACTAGCGAACGGCAGATGGCCTCGTTCTGCATCTCAAAGAAAGTAAAGCAGATTTTTCAAGGTGTCGGAGGGGCAAAGAGCACCCCTTCATTTTTAACATCTCTTCTGTTCGCGGGGAACACAGGAAACGGTAATCCTCTCACGCAAAGCGTCCCAGAGTCCTGTGTTTCTTTCAACCGCCTCACAGGACAACTGGATCTCGAACCGATGGAGCTGGACGTGACCTGGGACCCACCTGGTAACCAGCCCTACACTGTCACGCCCAGACTGCCTCGCCTCAGGCCAAAACCCGCATCAGATAGCCCAGCACGCTGGGATTAGCCCTGGATAGGCCTCTTTTATTGCTGCCCCAGGGCTGGATTTGCTCAGACACCCAGGCAGGGGATGCTGACGGAGCCCTCTTTGAAAGGCGCAAAGCCCTGCGTGAGAGCAGAACAATGCGTGTCAGGCAGGCCAGCGCGCGGTTTGCTTTTTTTAGGGACAAAGGACAACGGGAACGAGCAGAGAGCCGTGCTGTCGCTGCAGATCAGCCTCCCGCCTTCGCTGGGGAGCAGCCGCGAGGAAATCTAGAGCGCCGCATGGCAGCTCTCTGAAGGCTTAAAATATCACCCAGCTCCCACGGGCCAGCGGAGAAGCAGGGCAGTCAAGACTGCAGTATCAAGAACTGTGGGGGAGCGCGTTCGATTTGACAAAACCCAATGGGAGCGAAGGATATAAATCTCTGCTCTTGAAAAATTACAGTTAAGGGCAACTGCACTCAGTTTGTTGCAGGGGGAGCTGTGTCTGAATAAAAACACACATGCTTAAACCGGTGGGTTTAGACTGGGGCAGAGGCCGCCTGGATCGAGCTCTGCTCTCCGGGACTCGGCAGCAACATCAGAGGCAACCCGCCAACGAGGGGGGAAGCCCACACGCATGTCCCCAGTCTCCCTCACTCACCCTCACAGCAGCGCTGGTGGAAACCGGGAGGTAAAAGGCGAAGACAAGAGGAGGTCACCGACATCGACCCCTCCCAATCCCATCCTGCCCCGGTGAATTAGCCTATCCCACACACCCCTGCCTCTCTGTCCAAAGAGGCCGCTCGGAAAGCAAAACTGCGACCGCGACTTCCTCTTGCGTCCTTGTTTCCCAGCGCAGCTTCCCTGCGGCCGGTGTTAACAGTGCAGCAGGCTTCTCCGGCCTCCAGTCAAGCAGCTCTGCAGCACAGACGGAGAGCAGCCAGCTTCCACCTCCTCCACCCCCTGCAGCCCGGTGCCCGCCCAGTTAAACCAGGCCCCTTTCAGCATCAAACCACTGGGACCCAAAGACAGTGCGACAGGCTGAAACAATTTCTCGCGACGCGTCTGTGAAAGAAAACTGACCGTCCGGAAGGCGCAACAGCTCCCACTTGTTTTAAAGTCCTCGTCAGGCAAAAGGCGCAGAGACCGGAAGTGGGAGCAAAGCTGGGGTCTATCAAAGGGGAACTGCAAGGCTATCTTCACATTCCAGGAATTAGAAAGAATCGGCGTTGATGGGTGCACTTCAAATCACAACAACAGGAAAATGTCCACAGTAACTCGTAAAACATCCAGGTGACATCACAAAATAGGCGAAATCTCCAGCTATGCGCAGCACCATACCTCACGGACAGGTCTGCCACTTTACTGGGCTGCGGGCAGAAAGAAACCCGGTCAGGTGGAGACACGGGTCTCTTTCGGGCCATCTGGAATGAAAAGAGCCGGGCTGAAAAAATGGTCCCGTGGCCCAGGACAGGCTGTCGGGCCGGAGAGGGGCTCCGCCGGGATTGAGGAGCGAAAGGTGGCCAGCACTGCCCGGTTCTGCCCAAAGCAGGGGCCTGGCCTTAAAGCGGTACTGTGCCAGGCTCGTCAACCGGGCTGCTGGACGGCCTTCCCTGCCAATCTGAAGACAGCCTGGGAAACGTCAGAGAGAGGGCTGCCTCCCTGTCCTCCTCCTCAAAATAAACAGCAGTAAACCTCCAGCCTGAACCCCCTCCCGCTGAACAAGCACGGGGACGGCAGGGCACCACTGTGTTACTGTCAATACTGAGCAAACGGGCACGCCCGTCACCCCGGCAACCACACCATCCCTCTCCGCCCTCTCTACCGGCCCTGACCCCCGGCTGTGCTCACCACAGTCTGCAGTGGGGTGTCACCGGAACCCCGAGACCAGCCGAACCTCGGTCCCTCCTGCAAGCGCATCCCAAACCCTGCGGCCCGGAGACCAGCCAGCTCCGGCGCTCGCCTGCCGAGCCCAAAGGGTTAAAACCAGCCAACGCCAGGAAAACAAGCCGGCCCGAATCCCGAGTTCAGAGATTCGAAGGCTGCTCTCCTCCCACCCCGCGGCAGCGCACCGCGGAGAACATCACGCACAGACAGCGGGCGAGAGGAGACACAAACCTGCCGCTGACGAAGAGGAGAGAGGCGCTGCCCGCCCTCCGGCACAGCGCGCGGCTTTTATAGCAGCTGGGCACGGTCACGCAGGCCCCCCCCCGCCCCCCCACGCCGCAAACCGATCCAGCGCGC